GAGTCTCATTCTGTCACCCAGGCTGGAGTGCAGTGGCACACTCACAGTCATGGCCACCGCAGCCTCGACCTACTGGGTTCAGGTGATCCTTCCACCTCAGCCTTCCAAGTAACTGGAACCACAGGCATACATCACCACACCCAGCTACTTTTTGATTTATTGTAGAAACGAGGTTTCACCCACTTGCTCAGGCTGTTCTCAAACCTTTGGACTCAGGCAGTCCCCTCGCCTCCGCCTCCCATAGTGCTGAGATTACAGGCATGAGCCACCGTACCTGACTCGCTAGTTTTTCATAGATGTGATTTAAAAGTTTTCACTACCTCTTCCTCTACTTGCTAGTCTTGGGATCTTGAGTAGGTCACTTTAATCTACTGACACCCAGTGAAGCATTTTATCTCCAAAATGGGTTATAATAGCATCCTTTCCTAAAGTCCTACAGATGGTATCTATATACATTTTCAATTAATTTTCATTATTTAGGCAGAGCTTGAGTCTTAGGGCAAGCCTAGGTTTGTTGTTTTTAGTTTTGAGGAGTGGTTTAAATTAATACTTTAGGGTATTGGCAGAACGTATTCTCTTCAAAAATGGTAAGGAGTGTTAGAAGCAGTGGAGTGCTACAGCCAGCATTTCCTGACTTAAAAGAATCCATGCCAACTCTTTGTTTAGTGACATGTTGGTAGCTTGAAACTGGCCTTGGTGGGGGTGATTATACCTTGGAAATTAGTAAATGCTACAGACCAGGGCTTTTGCCCACAGAGAGCTGGTTGTTAAACATTTACCAGCATACGTTCATTCAGAAATGAAGTTTTGTTATGTTGTCCAGACCGGTCTGAAACTGCTGGGCTCAAGCCATCCTCCTGCCTTGACCTTTCAAAGTTCTGGGATTATAGCCGTGAGCCACCATGCCTGACCTATACCTTTAAAAAATGTTAAATTAGCTGTCAGCACTTAAAAATGGGAAGATTTAACATAAAAATCTAGATTTCTGGCTCTTGAAAAATAGGGTGTTCTAGCAACACTGGGCCCCCATTACCACATGGCAACAATGGGCCAAGGTGAAATTTAAATATGTGCAGGTTGTCTTGTTTGCTGCAAACTCATAATTCTGTGGCTTTACATCTAGTCAAGGACTGCACTCTGTTGTCTTCTTCCTGTCTCCTTTAGGCATTTGAGTTTGTGACACCCAGAGAAAGGGTGCTTCTCAGTAGTTGAGATCTTAACATGCTCTTTCAAGCTTTCCACTAAGTTAATTTAGTTGTACTAACAAATTGCAGGGTGTGTGGATTAGTTCCCAACTTGTCCTGAATTCCAGATGGCCTATCTGAAAATCCAAGTAGCAGTATGACTCATTGCCTGTGCTTTTGAGCCTGTTCTTTTTCCTGGATGGTGAAGACTTCTGAGGGAGGTCTCTATATGCCTCAGTGAAAGTGACTAATATCTTTGTTTTCCCATCTGGGGATGCCCGCCTTCACGCTTCAGAAATAACTCACCCTTCAGTAAAATGTGTAGAAGAGATGTTTGTTTTCTATTAGTGCTTTATTTGGAAAGATTTTGAGGGAAAAGGTGAGATGATGTTTTCTTTCAGATCAGAGTTGTATGTGCTTCGTTTATTTGCCTTGACAGGTTTTTCTTTTCCCCCAGTGTGGTTTCAGGCGGTCTAGCTGCATAGACTTTGTCCATGTTTGTTATGTTGACTCTGGGCTTGGCTGTCAATATTGTTGATGAAGCTCTGATTAATTTTTAAGCAGGTTTAGCCTGTGGTTCCTGGTGGATGGAATTGCTAATTTTCAGTTTGGGGTGATCCAGGAGGTAATAACTTTCCTGTTCCGTTTAATAAATGTGTACTAAATAATTATTGTGGGCAGGCCTTTGAGCATCGTACTAAAGGGTACCTGATGAACCAGAAAACAAGCCAGAACATGACCAACACTGTAAGTGCACTGGAAGGCCATGGAATCAGGGAGCACAGAGAAGATGGCATTTACACTGCCATGCCCCTCTCTAGTGTTTCCAGACACTAGAACACTGGATAGTTTTATACCTATAATATTGTCCCCTTGAAACGTGTATGATTACGTGCACCTCATCTAGGAGCTTCATTTTGGTTTTAAAAAAAATGAAATGTTTGGAACCATTTATGGGATAGATTTACTTTTACACCAACGTCATTTTGAATGTTTATTTCCATGTATCAAGGACCCACCACCTGGCTGGCAACCTGTTCTAACTAATTGCATTCTGCAAGTATAGATTCCGTGGATTTTCTTAAAAGAGAAATCCAGATTTGTGACACGAAGTCAAAAATTGTATTTTAGCTCTTAACTGTTGTCATGCAGATGATGCCTTTCTGGCAAAATGTCTAAGTCTAGTACTTGTATAGGTTGTTTCCAGACCCCAGATGCAGTATGCATTATGGCAATGGAGAGAAGAACAGTGAGTCACTGGGACATGCGCCTTATTGTTATTTGCATCACTTAGGGAAAGTCATCTGTTCTATGAATCTTAACCACAGAATGAAGCTAATAGTATCTACTGATAGGGTTTTTCTGAGAATTAAATAATCTGGTACAGAGATTTGGCATGTAGTAAACAACAAATACTAGCTATTATTTTCTTAAAGAGAGTTTAAGTAATTTTGAGTTAGACTTTTTTTTTTTTTTTTTTTTTTTTT